AGAGTCTCTTATGTTTTCTTCCCCTCCTTGTTTTTATATTATTTTTGCTTCCCTTTCCTTGTGTTCATCTGTTCTGTGTCTTAAATTCCTCATATGCATGAAGTCATAAGATATGTGTCTTTCTCTGACTAATTTCACTTAGCATAATACCCTCCAGTTCCATCCACGTAGTTGCAAATGGCAAGATTTCATTCTTTTTGATTGCTGAGTACTCCATTGTGTGTGTGTATGTGTGTGTGTGTGTGTGTGTGTGTATATATATATATAAAACATCTTCTTTATCCATTCCTCCATTGATGGACATTTGGGCTCTTTCCATACTTTGGCTATTGTTGATAGTGCTGCCATAAATATTGGGATGTGCGTGCCCCTTTGAAACAGCACACCTGTATCCCTTGGATAAATACCTAATAGTGCAATTGCTGGGTTGTAGGGTAGTTCTATTTTTAATTTTTTGAGGAACCTCCATACTGTTTTCCAGAGTGGCAGTTTTGTTCTTTTTTATTGCTAAATAATATTCCGTGGTGTATTTATATTTATATTTATATTTATATTTATATTTATACCTCATCTTCTTCATGCATTCATCTATCACTAGACACTTGAGCTCCTTCCATTGTTTGGCTGTTATAAATAATGCTGCAATAAACACAGGAGTGCATGTATTCCGTTGAGTTAGTGTTTTTGTATTTTTGGGTAGATACCCAGTAGTGCAATTACTGCATCATAGGGTAGTTCTGTTTTTAACTTTTTGAGGAACCTCCAAACTGTTTTCCACAGTGGCTATACCAGTTTGCATTCCCACCAGTGGTGGAAGAGTGTTCTTTTTTCTCTACATCTTCACCAGCACTGGTTGTTTCTTTGGTTTTTGATTTTGACCATTCTTATAGATGTGAGGTGCTATGTCATTGTAGGTTTGATTTGTATTTCCCTGATGAGTGATGTTGAGCCTCTTTTCATGTGTCTGTTTGCCATCTGGATGTCTTCTTTGGAGAAATCTGTTTATGTCTTTTGCCCATCTTTTAATTGGATTATTTGTTGTTTGGGTATTGAGTTGTATAAGTTCTTTATATATTTTGGATGCTAACCCTTTATCAGATACGTTTTTTGCAAACATATTCTTCTATTCTGTAGGTTGCCTTTTAGTTTTGTTGATTGTTTCCTTCACTGTGCAGAAACTTTCTGATGTAGTCCCAGTAGTTTATTTTTGCTTTTATTTCCCTTGTCTCAGAAGATGCATCTAAAAAAAGTGTTGCTGTGGCCAATGTCAGAGAGATTACTATCTGCATAATAGTTAGGAAATTTTACAGAAAAATTTATTCAAAAGAAAGGTAGGAATCTCTGTTTGTATTGAAACTGGTTGTATGTAGTCATTCCCAGCCAATTGAGGTAGTATTTGATTTTACAAATACTCTTTAAATTTTTTTTTAAAGTTTATTTATTATTGAGAGAGAGATAGAGCATGAGTTGGGGAGGGGCAGAGAGAGAGGAAGATACAGAATCTGAAGAAGGCTTCAGGCTCCGAGCTGTCAGCACAGAGCCTGATGCAAGGCTCAAACTCACAAACTGTGAGATCATGACCTGAGTCGAAGTCGGACACTTAACCGACTGAGCCACCCAGGTTCCCCACAAATACTCTTTAAAAGCATACTCTGGCATCAAGATAAATAACTTGGGAGAAAGTAGAAAAATTGGTCCTTTATAGTCAAGTATAGAAATCAGTATTCATAATTATCCTGGATCATCAAGAACGTTTTATTTACATTCTGCTATAAGGAGATAGATTATATTATGGAAAGCCATGTTATTAAAAAAATTATTTCAATGAGGAAAGGGGGTTAGTGAACACAGCTTCACAGTAACAATTCCTCCTTTTTGGAAGGACACACCCTGCACAATTTTGCCACAAAGTAAGTTCCATTGAAGATGACCTGACAATGCGAAATTACAGAACTTCTGGGATTCAAGTTACACAAACAGTATTAATAAACCTCTACCAACTTGAGATAGTAGAATTACTGGTTACAAGTTATAAAATAATATGATTAAGGTGACTAAAACCATAAAAGAGAAGGTATTAAAAATATGAAAAAAAGATAAGATACTACTCAGCAAGTCCTGAAAAATTAGATAAAAATCTAGGATAAAAAATAACTCAGTGGGGGTTATAATAACATAGATTAGGCAGAGCCAAACAGAGAATTACTAAACTGGATGAGAATATAATTATAGAGTTATAATTAAATGGAAAAAATACAGAATAAAAACAATATGCACATATACAGAAAAAGACTTCAATGAGATATGCTTATATGTTTTTAGTGATTTGTTTACAGTATGCATGATTTTAATTTTACTCTTTCTACTTCGTTGTGTTTTTCTTTTTCAATGAGCACATACTATTTAGAGTCATAGAAACAAATGTATAAGAATATAAAGTTGTCATCAGAAGTAAAGAAACTAGCCAGAGTGTAATTATGTTGTAGGAAATAGCACTCATGAAATTCTTTATTCTACCTTGTGGAATGGTCTTATGGTAATTATATCCATTTGTTATTTTTTTAGTTCAGTTGTATAAAATAAGGACTTCACATTAATTTTTCAGACTATAGGGAAACAAAACAGGGTTAAACAAACAGTTATGCTTCTTCTAGAGAGATTTTTTTCTTTAATTTTTGTTTGTGTTTGTTTTTGACTAAAGGATTGGTTACAAGATAGACCATCAAACAGAGAAATGTAAGTAAGCCTTTTCTCATCGTTAACCTGAAAAGTATCATAGTTATTGGGGGTTTTTTCTGTTCTTTGTACCATCTTTTAAAACACTCTTTTATCTGTGAGTGATGATTATTTATTTTAACATCTCTTGTCTTTACATAGAAGAGACTGGGGGAACTCATTTATTATGAGTTAATATATACATTTAAAATTACAATTTTATATAGTTATACTATCATTATGGCGATGCTATGATTACTATATTTTAGGATTCCAGAGGACGTTTACAAAAGAAAAAGTCATCTTTTTTTTTTTTTTATGTTTGTTTATTTTTGAAGGAAAGAAAGACAGAAAGTGAGTGGGGGGCGCCGGGGGTGGTGGGTGTTGCAGAAGAGAGGGAGACACAGGAAGAGAATCGGAAACAGGCTCCAGGCTCTGAGCTCTGAGCAGTCAGCACAGCATGGGAGAGTTACTTTCTGATATGGACTATTTGAGAAGGAACCACAGTGTTTCCCCTATTGCTTTCTGTGCATCAGAAATATATGTGAATATATAGAGAAGAAAATAAACCAGGTGCCACATGGGTATGCAGTGTTCAAGTTCTTTGGGTGCTCTGGGCCTTGTATGGCACTTGGAAGATCAAACTGTAATCAGATCTCTTCAGAGTATACTGTGTTTTATAACCAAAACCATAGGATGTAAATACAGAATAGGTACTTGAAGTTGATGTTAACTCAGCTAACAAGAGAACCTTGTCTTACAGAATGTTGAGCCAAAGAAGTACCCAGAAAGGTGGAGTTGGTCAGCACTTTTTGGGTGCTGAGAAAAGAGTAGTTTATCAACAGCAAAGGGATGATGCTAGGGTCAAAATACTTCCTATAATAAAATATTTATATTAGATAGAAGGTAAGAGCTGGAAAGAGATTTTTAGTACAGATTAAACATATATTTATATCCATATATGAATTTGGCATTGGCTTTAAGGGAAATGGCATATATTCAAACAAAAGTGAATCTGGATCTCAGAATTACTTTAATCACATTATATTAAATAATCATAATTTTACAAAGTGTATGGTAGCCAAAACAAAGATTGTGTCACAACTTGTATTTTTTGGTGTTTTCTTTAGGCCATCTGAAGAAGGAACGTTAAATGGTGAGTCCATATGGTAGATTTAATGCAAAAAAATGAGGATTATATATGATGTTATGTTATAGCAAATACCACATTATTCTAGCTAAGAAACTTCAGACTTCGTGTTTGAAAGAGCCAAGGTGGTAAAAAGTTCTTTGTTCAGCTAGTTTCTCTTCGGTATAGTAGTTTCACATATACATGAACTCACCATGTGAATGATATATCTTTACTGTCACCCTACCCCCCTTCGTCCCTGTGACCTAGTCTGCTCTTTCCCTTGTATACCCTGTTTTAGTGAATGATACTCTTTCAGTCTACTAGGTAAAATCTGAGAAGGAGTTATTCTTGACCCCCTTGACCTTGCACTCACAGAGTCCTGTTGTATTTACTTCTTAAATATTAAGACTCCATCTTCCACTATACATTATTCTGCTGCTTTCAGTTCACACTTCATCATTTTTTAAACCTTTTATTGAAGTATATATAACATGCATACAAAAAAGGTAGAGATAAGCCTCTCAGTGAATTCTCCCTAAGCAACTATGCCCCTGTAATCAGCACCCAGGTCACAAAACAGAATATTGCCAGTATCCCAGCTCCTCGTGTCCTTGTGTTTTAACCTCTGCCCCTGAATAACACATGTATAGTTTTGTCTCTGTTTGTTTATGGAATATATAAATGGAATCATAAAGTATGTACTTTGTGTCTGGCTTTTTCCTCCTAACATATGTTTATAAGATTCATCAATATTTTTGTGTATAGTGGTAGTTTGCACATTCTCATTACTATATAGTATTTCCTTATATGAATCTATTGAATGTATCCATTCTGTTATTTGATAGGCATTTCAGTAGCTTCCATTGTATGATTATTATGAACCATGAGTGCCATTATGAGTAGTCTTGTTCATGTTGTTTGGTAAACATATGTATTTGTTTTTTATTGGGCATGTACTTAGGACTGGAATTTGTAGGTGGTAGGGTATGTATGTGTTCACATTTAGTTGTTACTGTCCCGTAGGTTTTTAGAGTTGTGCCACTTAATCTCCCTTCTAGTCTGTCTTCTATTCTTCCACCAAACTGATCCTCCTCTGCTTTACATTTTCCTCACTGTCAATGGGTAAAATCGTGTCCTTTCTTAGCATGGCATATTTGGCTCCTAACTATTTGGTATTCCCTGATTCTGTAGCTTTACCTCCTACAGGCGTGCCTGTACTCTTGCTCGTTAGTTTGCAGTCCTGGTTACATGTCCAAGTACTTACGGAGAATCACTTTACGCTGACACACACCTACAGAATTTTTTGAAGTGAGATCTGGGTAGGTGCACAGTGAAAAAGCCCCACAGGTGATTCTGATATATGTTTATTATAAATTTATTTATATCTATTATACGTGATATATATTTATGTGTATAAAATTAGTTTTGAAAACTGCTGTTTCTGTTCATACTAAACAACTTGCAGTTTCTCAAGTGTAGCATGTGCTTTAACAGTTCCGTGTCTGAAAATGTTGCCCTGACCACACCACTGTCTTCCAGACTATTCTTTTTCCCCTTCTCTTTCTCTGAGACATCCTTCAACCTTTCTGCAAGCAGAAGACATTTAGTACCCCTCCTCTATAGTCCTATGATGTATATATACATCATATACATATATACATACATATATACATCATATATACATGTGTATATATAGTCCTATAATATATATATAATGTGTATATTTTATATTTCCTACATAGTATTAAAACTATTGACTGATTTTCTTCTTCTCAAGACAGTAAGGTCTTTTTCATTAATATTCTGTAAACTTAACACATGGCAAATTCAATTGATTCTCCAGTCTTCTCATTACAGTTAAAAAGTCAAATTCTCAAATACATTTAAATATGGAGGAAGGGCTTTTGGGTATGTTTCACATTCCAGAAGTTCATCTTCTTATGGTCAGCCCACTAAAATGGCTACTTGGTTACAAGCTCCAGCTCCTAAACTAAAAGATCTTTTCCTTTTTGAGTGGGGGTGGAGGGTGTGGGAAAAGCGCAGCTTATGACAGGAGAGTGTGAAATGTCACGTGCCTTTTCCCTTCCAGGTATCTGAGTGCACAGTTAGGACTAATCTGGCACAATGAAAAAGGATAATAGAGCAAGCACATGATGAGTGTATTTTACTATTTATTTTTTCTGTTCAGTGAAGAGAGCTTATATGAAGGGAACCTTAGGATGATTGTATGAGAATGAGCAAAAATTTTTATACCACATTAGTACTTTTAAAAGGGTTTCATTTGTTTATTTGCCATTTTAGGTCTCGCTTCTCCATTTAAACCAGTTATGGATACAAATTACTATTACTCAGGTCAGTACTATTAAAAACAAAATCTAACAATATTTTGAGCTTTTAGAAAGGATTTCATTATTTTTCTCTCATTTTTGTGCAGCTGTGGAAAGAAATAATTTGATGAGATTATCCCAGAGCATTCCATTTACACCTGTGCCTCCAAGAGGTAAATCCAAATAGTAAAGAAATGAAGGAGAAAATAAACCTTTTATTAATAGTGTGATTTTTAGCTGTGATGTAGAACATGGGTGGTAATAGAAGGAAGGGTCACGTTGAGAAGTGTCAATTTCATATAAATTTTAATTAGCAAGAGTCAGGTATAGTTTAAATAGAAGAAGGAGTGATCAGAAATATTAGATTTCTGTATTTCCATCATATCCAGAAGTAATAGTGTATTCTAATTAAGAAAGGATCTTAACCCATTGTTTAGTATAGAAAGCATAGATAAATTGACACCACAAATTTTGTGGAACAGTTGCTTTCTTAAAGTTTTTCTTGAAAATGATCATAATTTCAAAAATGTTTATTACTACTAATATACATAAATTTAGAAATATTAGTAGATTCTTGATTTCTGAGCATTTGTTGCCCTTAAACTTCCTTTATAAAATTATAACTTTGTCCAGTTCATTTTCTGTTTCTTACTTAATCTTAACAAGATACCTGCCAATTTTTATTCTACTTTGTCATTTTAAAGGGTCATAATTTGACCTCAAATTGTGTCCATTCATCTTGCAGGTGAGCCTGTCACAGTGTATCGCTTGGAAGAGAGTTCACCCAGTATACTGAATAACAGCATGTCTTCTTGGTCACAGCTTGGCCTCTGTGCCAAAATAGAGTTTTTAAGTAAAGAGGAGATGGGAGGAGGTTTACGGAGAGCTGTCAAAGTACAGTGTACCTGGTCAGAACATGATATCCTCAAATCAGGTCATCTTTATATTATCAAATCTTTTCTTCCTGAGGTGGTCAACACATGGTCAAGTATTTATAAGGAAGATACAGTTCTGCATCTCTGTCTCAGAGTAAGTGCTAGTGAATGCATAACAGTAGAACATTATTTGGAGTTCATGTTTTGTCTTCTAATGTATGTTAAACCAAAAAACCTCTTAGTTTCAGTGTTCAGCAAGGAGATTTTTTTGGTGTATTTTTTTGTTGTTGTTCTGTAGGAAATTCAGCAACAGAGAGCAGCACAAAAGCTCACGTTTGCCTTCAACCAAATGAAACCCAAATCCATACCATATTCTCCAAGGTAAATCTTGAAATTTTTCTGAGATCTTGTAGTTTTATCTGGATACCATTGTCTTTTGACCTTCGTTATTAATGCTGAATATTTAATTATTTACCCATTTAAAAGCTCAATTAGAATTTTATTAACAAAACTACTAGTAATATCTATAACTGTTTTTCATAAGGTTCCTTGAAGTTTTCCTGCTGTATTGCCATTCAGCAGGACAGTGGTTTGCTGTGGAAGAATGTATGACTGGAGAATTTAGAAAATACAACAATAATAATGGTGATGAGATTATACCAACTAATACACTGGAAGAAATCATGCTGGCCTTTAGCCACTGGACATATGAATATACAAGAGGGGAGCTATTGGTACTTGATTTACAAGGTAAATTTATTAAAGTATTGCTAAAGTAAAATTGTACAGTAGGTTCTCACCTGTTCATGTGTTATGAATGATATACGGTCATCTTCTAACTTATAGATCGGTAAAAACCTCAGGTTAGTAAAAGCTATTAAAAAAGCAAGTCAGGGGCGCCTGGGTGGCGCAGTCGGTTAAGCGTACGACTTCAACCAGGTCACGATCTCACGGTCCGTGAGTTCGAGCCCCGCATCGGGCTCTGGGCTGATGGCTCAGAGCCTGGAGCCTGTTTCCGATTCTGTGTCTCCCTCTCTCTCTGCCCCTCACCCGTTCATGCTCTGTCTCTCTCTGTCCCAAAAATAAATAAACGTTGAAAAAAAAAAAAATTTAAAAAAAGCAAGTCAAGGGGCGCCTGGGTGGCGCAGTCGGTTAAGCGTCCGACTTCAGCCAGGTCACGATCTCGCGGTCCGTGAGTTTGAGCCCTGCGTCGGGCTCTGGGCTGATGGCTCAGAGCCTGGAGCCTGTTTCCCATTCTGTGACTCCCTCTCTCTCTGCCCCTCCCCCGTTCATGCTCTGTCTCTCTCTGTGTCCCCCAAAAAATAAATAAATAAATAAACGTTGAAAAAAATAAAAAAGCAAGTCAATAACAGCCATAGCATATAGCCATCAGGGCCCTGAATAGTGGGATCTTGCTCTCTTGATTATTACTTACATAATATATATTTTTTTTTGATGAGCAGAAACACATGCAATCCACTATTCTATTCTTAGATGTATATGTAGTTTTAGTCTTTTAAAACTATACTGTTTATTTAAAACAGTAGCATGTGTTCCTGTTCTTGGTGTTTATGTTATCTATTATTGTGAACTAAACTACCTAAATATTTAGGGATTAAAACTACCATTTTATTTGTTTCCAGTTCTTTGGTTCAGGAATTTGGATGGGACATGGTGGGGATGGCTTATCTCTGCTGTCTTCTCAGAAGGTTCAAATGGCTGGAGAATAAGCATGAACAACATGACTAGAGTCAAATGTCTAAGGTTTCTGTTCACTGACATCTGAATCCCTCAGTTCTCCACCAAGTGATCTCTCCATGTGGCTAGTTATCTGTGACCTTGGTCATAACATGGTAGTTTCAGGTAGTTAGATTTTTACATAGCAGCTAGCTTCCTCCAGAGAAAAAGCAGAAACTCTTAACATTAGTTCCAGAACTGGCCCAGATCTCCTCCTCCACATTTTACTGATCAAGGCAGATAATAAAGATAGCCCAGTTCAAGAAGTGGGGAATGGATTCCAGCACTTGGTGGGTAGAGTAGCATCTATACAAGGAAGGAAAAACTGATCATAACCATTTTTGTAGACAGAATCTGTCATATGTGGAAAAGAAAAGAATGGAAATTGTGGCTTGGAGAGGGCACATTTGCTTAGAGTATTGTCTGTCTGCAGGGTCAGAGGAAAATAAAACTGAGCAGGTTGCCCGCTCTACCTGAGTTGTACTTTCTTATTATAACTTCCATGATTTTTTTCCCGAAAGAGCAGCCTTAATTTCAAATGTCACCATAGACCAGATTTCAAAATCTATACATAAGAACAGTTATTTAGAATGTTTATCACTTGATGACTTTTTTTGTTACATATAGTCACAGATATAAAGGATTTTGCTGAAAAGCAAATGGCATGGAATCAAGCTGAAGAAAGAAAATCTGTAAAAATAGCTACCCTTTTTTCAGTAGTTCATCATTTTACATAAATGATTTAATAGTATATAAAGTGAAAACTGATATGTATTATTAGGTCAATCCAATTAAGTAAAAAAGATCTTTAAGTATATTCTTAAATAGTGTCACTTAATTATCTTCAAACATGCATAGGAGGTAAAGCCAAACAGATTTTATCTGAATTCCTAATTTAAAAGATGGGAGTTAAGGTGCCTGGCTGGCTCAGTCAGTAGGGCATGCAACTCTTGATCTCACGGTCGTGAGTTCAAGCCCCATGTTGAACATAGAGCTTATTTTAAAAAAATAAATAAATGAAAATAAGGGCACCTAGGTAGCTTATTTGGTTAAGCCTCCAACTTGGGCTCAGGTCATGATCTCGCAGTCTTTGAGTTTGAGCCCCGCGTTGGGCTCTGTGCTGACAGCTCAGAGCCTGGAGCCTGCTTCTGATTCAGTCTCCCTCTCTCTCTGTCCCTCCTCTGCTAGCACCTGACTCTCTCTCCCTCTGTCTTTCTCAAAAATAAACTTTAAATGAATGAAAATAAAAGATGGGACTTATTTTCAGTAAACAAAGTAGTTTTAATGGTCTTTACATTACATTATTACATTAATGTGTTCCTGGAGCCATTTTTCATAGAGCTGTTTTACACAAGGGGCGCCTGGGTGGCTCAGTTGGTTGAGCATCTGATTCTTGATTTTGGCTCAAGTCATGATTTCATGGTTCATGAGTTTGAACCCCATGGGCTCTGCATGGATAGTGTAGAGCCTGCTTGGGATTCTTTCTCCTTCTCTCTCTACCCATCCTCTGCTCACTTGCATTCTCTCTTTCAAAAATAAACATTAAAAAAATATTTTACACAATTACCACAAACAAACAATATGGAAATATATTAAAAAGTTTTCCCATTTCATTATTTGTCTAACTTTGGTGAAGACAAATACTGTACACAAATAGAAGGGGTTTTTTTCCTTATTTTTAATATTTTGTGTTGTGATTTTCCTCCAACTGGGATGATGCCTCGTGTGTGTGTGTGTGTGTGTGTGTGTGTGTGTGTGTGTGTGTGAGAGAGAGATTTGTTTTTGTCTACCTAACAATATATCATGGACATCTTTTGGGTCATTACTGATAAATCTGAGTTACTGCTTTTCATAGATGCATGCATGATAACCTATAGTATGGAGGGGTGGCATGATTTACCCCCCCCTTTTTTCTTTTTTTTTGCTACTGTAAACAGTGCTGCAACAAATATACTCATGTATTGCTACTTTCATTTCCATTAAGTAGATTTCTGACTTGGCTTAGTAAGAAGAGATGAGTGCAATTTTAACAGCCACTGGGTTATTTTTCCAAAAGGTTATGGGAACACATACTTAGCACTGTATATGAGTTCCCATTTCTCTGCGGACTCTCCAGTACTAAATATTCTTAATCTTTGCCAGTCTGATGAGTAGTAGGTCAATAGGTATTCTTTTATATGAGTAAATAGATAAGAAAGACTGAAAATATTTAATTATACTTTTAGTACCTCTGGGGAGGAATGGAAGTAAAGGAAGATGTTCACAATCTTATTCTTTATGTAACCTGAATTTTTCAAGAAGATAAATGTGGTAGTATATGATTTTTTAAAATGGGAAACACTTTAAAAATGGCCTATAAATTATGCCTTCGTGTTTCAAAATGTTCTTTGCTAATAAGGTGAAAAAGGGGGAGATCATGTAAACTGTTTACATAAACTGTTTGTTTTCCAGCTTTGTCCCTGTTGCATCAAAAGGAAGTGCCATCAGGAGTCCACCTGCCTATCTCCCAACTCTGACAATTAACTTTTATTCCTGGTGCGGGAGCTGTGTGTGTCCTAGGTGCAGTGTTAAGGTCACAAGTTATGAAATACTAAGAGAGAAAACCTATACTCTTGAAAAATTTAACATTGTGTAATAATTGATGCTATAAAATCTCTCATAACTATTTTTATTATGCAAATGTCAATGTTTGTATCAATTATACAATATAAATTATCTTTTTTTATATATACATATAAAGGTGTGGGTGAAAATTTGACTGATCCATCTGTGATAAAAGCAGAAGAAAAGAGGTAATAAGTTTTAATAATTTCATGATGATATTTTTATAATTTCAAATTCTACATTTCTATTTGCATAAACTGTCTTTTTTTTTTCTTTTTTCTTTTTTCTTTTTTTAACTACCAATTCCACAGATCCTGTGATATGGTTTTTGGCCCAGCAAATCTAGGTGAAGATGCAATAAAAAACTTTAGAGCAAAACATCACTGTAATTCTTGTTGTAGAAAGCTTAAACTTCCAGGTAACATTTTCTTAGTATAATGTATAAATTGTTAGCACATTTGGTTACTACAATTCTTCATAAAGCTGAGGGCATAAATACACATTATTTAATAAATGGATCTATGTTTTCTTTAATTGCTTTTAAAAATACAAAGTTTGTTAATTTAATACATTTATTATGTGTCTGCTCGCTGCCAAGAATTGTGCTAGATGTTAACAGTACAATTGTGAACCAGACAAACATGATCCCTGACCTCAATGGAATTTAGTCAAATCTTAGATACTGACAGGATTAACAGGTAGGACTGTCGTTAATGCCAAACAGAAGAAATAGAACAGGTAAGCAGGTAAGAGGTCAGGGAGTGCTACCTGAGGAACTGACAGATTGCCTAAAACTGAAGGTTAAATAGACTTTAAAGTTAGCCTGGCAAAGAGTTGGAGGAGTATTCCCATGAAGCAGGAACAAGAACTTCAGATATATTCTCTCAGGATTGTAATTTCATTTATACATTTGAAAAATTACCAGTTATTATTGAATCTAAGCTATAGCACAAACCAGTGGTTCTCATTCTTTGGTGTGTATCAGCCTCCCTGTGAAACTTTTTAAAAATTACAGCTTCCTGAGGGGTGCCTGGGTGGCTCAGTCGGTTGAGCGGTTAAGTGTCCAACTTCGGCTCAGGTCACGATCTCGCAGTTTGTGAGTTCGAACCCTGCGTTGGGCTCTGTGCTGACAGCTTGGAGCCTAGAGCCTGCTTCTGATTCTGTGTCTCCCTCTCTTTCTCTGCCCTTCCACTGCTCATGCTCTGTCTCTCTCTCTCTCTCTCTCAAAAATAAACATTAAAAATTTTTTTAAAAAGTCTCTGCCTGAGACTTAACCCTTGAGCTGTATTTTTTAATGTCCCTGTCATTATGACTGATAGATAACTCAGTAGTTAAGAGGTTGGAGTTAGGAGCCAGGTTGCATGGGTCCAGAAAATACCTACATTATAGAGATAGGTTTTTTGTTTTGTTTTGTTTTTTAGAATTAAATGAATTAGTATTTGTGAAGTACCTAGAACAGTGCCAGGCACATAGTAAGCATGTAAATGCTACTTTTTTTTTTTTTTTAATGTTTATTTATGAGGAAGACACAGAATCAGAAGCAGGCTCCAGGCTCTGAGCTGTCAGCACAGAGCCTGATGCAGAGCTCGAACTCACAAACAGCAAGACCTGAGCCAAAGTCGGACACCCAATGGACTGAGCCACCCAGATGCCCCAATGCCACAGTTTTTAATTGTTGATTGTTAATGTACAGAAAGACCATTAATTTTTGTGTTTGTTTTTTTTCTTTCTTTATTGACCTTGGGTTTTTTCTTTGGTTTGGGTTTTTTTTTAATTTTTGTTTATTTTTTTGTTTGGTTTGAGTTTTGTTGTTATTGTTTGGAGGTTTTTGTTTTGTTTTTGTTTTTTGTTGACCTTGTATCCTACAACTAAACTAACGTAATTCTAGGAATTGTTTTTGTTTTGTTTTGTAAACTTACTGGAATTTTCTGTATAGATAGTAGAGACAGTTATATTCCTTTTCAACCTATATGCCTTTTATTTCTTTTTTCTTGACTTTTTGCACTAGCAAGGAATTCTCATACAGTGTTGAATAGTGAAAGGAATAGTGAAAGTAGAATCTGCTTTGTTCCTGATCTTAAAGGGAAAGCCTTCGATCTTCCACCATTAACATGATGCTAGCTTGTAAGAGTTTTTTAGATATACTTTATTAGGTTGAGAAAATTTTCTTCACTTCTTGTTTCTTGAAAATGTTTATCCTGAATGGGTATTAAATGTTGTCGGATATTTTGTCTGCATGTGTTTATATGGTCATTTGTGTTTTCTTCTTTAATAGGTTAATAGTACATTGTATTGCCTCGATTTTTGAAATGTTGAACCAGTCATGCATTCAGGACAGACTACTTTGTCATGATATATTACCTTTTTTTATGTATTGTTGGACTCACTTTATTCATATGTTGTTGAGGCTTTTTGCATCTGTGTTCATGAAGAATATTGGTCTATGTTTGTGGTTTTTTTCCTTGTACTATCTTTCTCTTCTTTTGGTATCACCATAATATTGACCTTAAAAATAAGTTAGAAATGTTCACACCTCTTCTTTTTCAAGGAACAAATTATATAGAATCGATACTTTTCTCATTTTAAATGTTTGATAGAATTGTCAAGTAAAACTCTCTCAGTCTGAAGTTCTTTGTCAGATGGTTTTTAAGGAACAGTTTAATATGTTAATTGATGTAGGATTGTTGGGGTCATCCATTTTTTTATTATTTATTTATTTAATGTTTATTCATTTTTGAGAGACAGAGACCACGGGAGGGGCAGAGAGAGAGGGAGACAGAGAATTTGAAACAGGCTCCAGGCTCTGAGCTGTCAGCACAGAGCCCGATGTGGGGCTCAAACTCACGAATTGCGAGATCGTGACCCGAGCTGAAGTCAGACGCTCAACTGACTGAGCCACCCAGGCGCCCCAGAGGGGTCATCCATTTTTTAAATTGAGTTTTAGTAGTTTGTGTCTTTCAAGGAATTGGTTTGTTTTACTTAAGTTGTCAAATTTATGGGCATAGGGTTATTTATATACTAATTTAATTTGTTCAGTGTCTGGGATCTCGTGAGTCCTTTCTTACGATAATTTGTTTTTTGTTTCTTCGCCATTCTGGCTAAGGTTTATTAGTTCTTTTGATACTTTGAGAGAACCAGCTTTTCTTTGCATTGTTTTACTCTACTTTCTGTTTTCAATTTCATTGATTTATTCTCTTTATTCTGTCTTTCTGCTTGCTTTGGGTCATTTGTTCTTTGTTAAAGTAAAAACTTGGATTATTTGGGAATGCAGGCTGGTGCAGCCACTCTGGAAAACAGTATGGAGGTTCCTCAAAAAACTAAAAATAGAACTACCCTAAGACCCAGCAATTGCACTACTAGGCATTTATCCAAGGGATACAGGTGTGCTGTTTCGAAGGGACACATGCACCCCCATGTTTATAGCAGCACTCTCCACAATAGCCAAAGTATGGAAAGACCCCAAATGTCCATCGATGGATGAATGGATAAAGAAAATGTGATATACGTATATACATAAAATGGAGTATTACTCAGCAATCAAAAAGAATGAAATCTTGCCATTTGCAACTATGTGGATGGAACTGGAGGGTATTATGCTAAGTGAAATTAGAGAAAGACAAAAATCATATGATGTCACTCATGAGGACTTTAAGAGACAAAACAGATCAACATAAGGGCAGGGAAACAAAAATAATATAAAAACAGGGAGGGGGACAAAACAGAAGAGACTCATAAATATGGAGAACAAACTGAGGGTTACTGGAGGGGTCGTAGGAGGGGGGGAAGGGCTAAATGGGTAAGAGGCACTAAGGAATCTACTCCTGAAATCATTGTTGCACTATATGCTAACTAATTTGGATGTAAATTTTAAAAAACAAAAAATAAAATAAAAAGAAATAATAATAAGAAATGAACCTGGTGGGGGGGAATACTTGGATTATTGATTTGAGGCCTTTTCTAACAAGAAGTTTACTTCTATAAATTTCTTTCTTTCTTTCTTCTTTCTTTCTTTCTTTCTTTCTTTCTTTCTTTCTTTCTTTCTTTTCTCTTTCTTTCTTTCTCTCTCTTTCTCCTTCCTTCCTTCCTTCCTTCCTTCCTTCCTTCCTTCCTTCCTTCCTTCCTTCCTTCCTTCCTTCCTTCTTTCTTTAGCAGGACCATGCAAACAGGGAAGGGGCAGAGAGAGAGAGGGAGATATAGAATCCAAAGCTGGCTCCAGACTGACCTGTCAGCACACAGCCCAACATCTAACTCTTAACCCGTGAACCATGAGATCATGACCTGAGCCAAAGTCAGACGCTGAACCAACTGAGCCACCCAGGAGCCCCTTATATATATGTTAATTATATTTGAAGTGGGCTGCTTGCAGACAGCATATAGTTGGGTCGTAGGTTTAATTTGTTTTTTTGTGTTTTTTGTTTTTTTTTTTTACTTAACAATTTCCATTTTTAACTAATGTTTCAGACCCTTTACATTTTACATAATTATTGATGTGATTAGATACAGATCTTCTGATGTACTCTTTTCTGATTAATGCCTTCTTTTTCCGCCCCCCCCACTCTGTTTTAGTATTGTTTTATCTTTATGTTTATTTTTTTTAGTGGTTGCTCTTAGTTCTTCTTATCAAGAATGTGTATATTTTGCCTTCATTCTTGAAGGCTATTTTTTACTGGATCTAGAATTTTAGGTTGATACTTCTTTCAGGGCATAGAAAATGTTTGCTGTTTTCTGGCCTCTGTTATCTCTGATGAAAATTTCACAGTCATTTGAATTGTTCTTCACCTATATGTGATGTATCATTATAATCTAGCTTGTTTCAAAATTTGGATTTTCAGCAGTTTGATTATGAGATGTCTAGTTGTAGGTTTTTCTGAGTTTATCTTGGTTCAGGTTTGCTTAGCTTCTTGAATTTGTAAATTTATGATTTTTATCAAATTGAGGAAGTTTTTAGCTGTTTTTCAAATATTTGTTCTGCATCAATCTCTTTTCATCTCTTTTTGAGACTCACATAATAAGAATATTAGACATTTTTGGGCACCTGGGTGGCTCAGTAGGTTGAGCAACTGACTTTGGCTCAGGTCATGATCTCACGGTTTGTAACTTGGAGCCCCACGTCGGGCTCTGTGCTGGCAGCTCAGAGCCTGGAGCCTTCTTCTGATTCTGTGTCTCCCTCTCTCTCTGCCCCTCCCCCACTCATGCTCTGTCTCTCTCTGTCTCAGAAATAAATAAACATTAAAAAAAAAAGAATATTAGACATGTTTATATTGTTTCTCAGGGACTTGAGTCTCTGGTTATTTCCTTAAAAATTATTTTTTGTCTGTTGTTTAGATTGAATAATTTCTATTGCTCTGTCAAGTTCACAGACTTTTCCCTTACTCTTCATTTCTTCATTCTGCTTTTAAGCCCGCACACTGGATTTGTTGTTTCAGTTATGTTTTTCAGTCCTATAAACTTCCTTTTGGTTCTTTTATACTGATTATTTCTCTGCTGAAAACTTGTTTTTTTCATTCATCTCAAGTTTGTTTGCACCACTTCATGGAATATGGTTGTAATAGCTGGTTTAAAGTCTTTTATCATTCCATCAGAATAATCTTAAGGTTGGCATCACTTGTCTTTTTCTTTGAGATGTTTCTAGTTCTTTGTATCTGGTAATTTTAGAATGTGTCCTAGATATTTTGACTAGGAGATTCTCATTCTTACTAAAAATCCTCTAGAGAATGTTGGTTTTTGTTTATTTGTGTTAGTAGACAGCTCATTTAAGCTCAATTTACAAGTCCTAGTCTACCTTTTATAGCTGTGATTCCAACGTCAGTTTAGTTTTCAAAGCTTTTGCAGTATTACTTAGGTCAGCCTTACTGTGTCAAACATGGTCAAGTCTGGAAACTGAGTGGAGGTCAGCACATAGTTTAGTCTTCAAAGCCCATCCTATGCTGTCTTTTCACATATTTGCCACTCAAAGGTGAACTTGGGATTTCATACACAAATTTAGGGTATCCCTCTCTCCATTTTCCTCCTTTCCATGATTCCATATTTTGTGATTTTCAAGGCCTTTTTTTTTTTTTTTGGTTGGAGCGGGACAGGGGTGGGGGTACAGGGGACAGATAAGGTACTTTGCCTGGAAAGTCAGGATTGTGGCTTCCCTGTGCTGTCACACATTTCCTTCAACTGAGTCCATTTCTGATGCTAGAAAGAGGGAAAAAAATTTTTTTGGCTCTTAAAGATACCTATTTTTAGTTCTTGTAGTCCCAGAAAAAGGTTTTCTCTTGGAATTGTAGGTGCTTGCCCAGGTGCCACCACCTCAAAAGTGCCTCTTCATGACTGGGACTTGTATGTAAGGGCCAGAGGAGCAAAAAGAGGGCATTCCCCTCAACATTCTCCATCCCACAGAGTCCCCCTTCCTGATCTTCTGGTCAGAAAGTGTTAGAGCTTTTTCTCTCCGTGCTCACTATACATTTCTGAGATCAAGCCAGCTATCTGTAAGTCTAAGCTTGAAAAATAAGAGAGGGGGGAAAAAAACCCAGGAAACTCACCACCAATCTAGGCTAGGCCATTCTTCAGGTTTTCATCCCCTTCCTCAATATGTCTGCTGTTAACTTTTCAGGATCCTGAGATAGTGACTTTATGCTTATGTGAAGGGTTTTTACTTACAATCAGTGGGAGAGATAGAGTTGAATATCCTTAGTCCATTTTAGCCAGAACTAGAACATAACAGTGGTGAATTTATTAATAGGTAGCCCAGATATAATGTTTATTTGGTTTTGGATCTAATAATATTTTAAGTAGTATATCTATTTTTTAAATTAATTTTTAAATTACTAATATAGTCAGGATTTCGTAGCTTGGAAGAGACCTTAAAAACATTCCAACCCAAATCTGTCATTTTCCAGAACATTTTAGAAGTCAGATAATTTGTCCATGGTTATACCATAAGTTAACATTTTCAGAACTTGAATTATAATTGGGTTTCTTTCCATTGTTCGTGGTGTACAATACAACTACAAATTAATTTGCATTCCCTAAGGCCACACTGGCACAGTCTTTTAAATTTAAAATTTATCAAAATGTACTCATACAATAGCAAATATGTATTTGGATCGTTGAATATAGGCTATCACTCA